AACACTGGGACCCTCTCACACCATCTCAGTCCACAAGAAACATTTCAGCATTGCTTGCTGTTTTGACAACTGTTTGATTAATTTTATAGCCTTGGAAACATTTACTGTTACAGCCAAAATGGGAAGTAGTGCAGTATAAACTTAAGCTGGCTTTTTAGTGTTTTTTTATTATTGTATACCTTTAATTGAATACTAACACTGGCATTTTTTTTCCAGCTTGATAGTTTGTCATACCAAGAAAAATTTAATTACACTTTGTATCCCATCTCATTTCCAACCGAGAATGCTGCAGAATGGAAGAAACTATTCAAACCCTGTGCTTCTCAAAGGCTTTTTTTACCAGTAAGTGGTTATGGTGGTCATGGAAAAGCTAGGATGTTCTGAAAAACATTCTTAATTTGTTTCATTAAATAAAGGCCAGAGTCCTGTTGGTGAGATATATACAGTATCTGTAGGTTAAATTATGTACCACACCATGGTGAATGATGCTAACTAATGAGTATTGGTGTATTGCAAGGTAATGCCTAGTGACACGTGCCTAGTATTATGAATAGCATTTTGTTACTTAGTAGCAATTCACTGCTGTGAGTTACATAATGCAACTTACATGTGAATCAGCGAGAGAATCCTAATAGTTCAACTGCAGCAGTTTTATTTGTTTCATTCAGACTGTTGTTTGGCTTGGCAAAGTGGAAACAATGTTCAAAGCATACCTAGCCGCCCAGAGTGGTAGAATATACCAGATGGGCGGGATATAAATCAAATAAATAAATAAGTAAGTAAGTAAGTAAGTTAAGTAAGTAAGTAAGTTAAGTAAGTAAATAAATAAATAGCAGTCCAAAATCAGTCTGAGTCTAAGCATGACATTTGTCTCTCCTCATACCAGCTTGAAGGTGGGGTAGAGACATCTATATATAGGAGCTTTTGGAGTAGGTGACAGCTCTGTGTATGCTGGAAACAAGGGTGATACTTGTGCTCTCACATGTGCATATTTACTAACAATACATACATGTAGCTGTCTATTGTAAGGTGACAAGACAGGTGCGAGGAGCTCAGTAAATACAAACTAATGATTGTTTCTTGTAACATTTTAGATGATAAGAGAGTAGATATCTGTGTTCCATGCAGAAAATAACTGCTGAAATTCTGTGTAGTAAATTACACTAGAATATGCCCATTGAATCATTGGGATTGGTGAGTCAACTACTCTGTAGATTCCATTGATTCAAATTGGCCTACTGTAGTACAACTTACTAGGCTAAGGAAGAGAATTTTGAGCAGTGACTTATTTGGAATGTATTATTTTCTATTTTTAATACATGTTCTGAGTAAGTTCTAGAATTTAAAGCAATACATACCAGTAATAATGACAGTAACATTTCTGATGGTATGAAATACACTAAAATGAGGGTAATGCTATCAAAATGTCAAAAAGCAAAGTGTGCTGCTTATATTCCACTCCATAGCACCTAAAGCACTTTCTTGGTGGTTTACAGTTTAATTGTGCAGGCTACACATTGCCCCCCACCAACAAGCTGGGTGGAAGGCTGAGTCAAACTTTGTCAACTCCAGTTTTTAGAGTACAGTAGTATCTCGGTTTGCGAACGCCTCAGTTTACGTAATTTTTGGTTTACGGACCGAAATCCCTAAGAAAATCTAGCCCCGGTTTGCGTTCTTTTCTTTTTCTTTCTTTTTTCGCACTATGAAAGGGTTTTCCCAGGGCGCATTGTGCTTATAGCACCGCCCCTTTCATAGCACAACTGGCATTTTGGTTTGCAAAATTTCCATACTATGTAACGTTGCATAGAATAGATCCAGTTCACAAACCGAGGTACTACTGTACTGTGTTTTTAATTGTATTTTAATTGTTTTATCTTTTTATTATATTTAAATTCTTGTAAGCCATCCAGAGACCTTTGGGTAGTGTGGGTGGCATTTAAGTTAAACAAACAAACAAACAGACCTTGAACTGGTTACCTGAGCTTGTCAGGATGGAACTCGAGTAGTGAGAAGAATCTTCACTGCAGTTTAACCACTGTGGCACAAGGCTCAGTGGCTGAAACCTAATTCAATATCAGGTGGTAGTGGTTGTGTTTTTGCTTCTGTTACTAATTTTGGCTAGCACAAATTTTATCCCATGGGGAATAATAATGAATATGTACTGCCAGTGTTACATAGTTATTTTTTATGCTGTATAACCAGTTTATAGGTATAGAAAATAAAAAGAGTGTTCACATATTTATCTACCAGGAAGGAATGATACTGAACTTCCTTTGATGGCTTATTAGACAGAATGACTGGCATGATGAATTGTTTGACCTAAGAATTGTTTCCAACATCTCTTGTGTTTTGTAGTTAATTCTCAGTGATGTGGACTCTCTACTGTATGTTGATACAGACATCTTGTTCTTAAGACCTGTTGATGATATTTGGTCTTTCCTGAAAAAATTTAATTCTTCTCAAATTGCTGCAATGGCACCAGAACATGAGGAGCCTCGTATTGGATGGTACAATCGCTTTGCTAGGCATCCATATTATGGAAATACTGGAATAAATTCTGGAGTAATGTTAATGAATATGACCCGCATGAGGAGAAAATATTTCAAGGTATGAGGTTACTTTCATATTACCATTGCTTATAAAATTATGGGTTAAAAGATATGTTTGCTGGTCATCACAATTGTATACATGTTGTTTTTCTGAGATGGCTTAAGTGTCACATATAAGCCAAATGTAAGTATTATAATCTGGAACCATGTATAGTTTTCAGCATCAGGGAGATGAAGTCATGCATATACTTAAGTCTCATGCCCAACATTTCCATTATCTGGAAATCACTGGCCTTCATGTGTTCAGTGTGAATGTCTGAAGAGGCATTTCGAAGTTCATTCATCTGTATATACCAACAGAGCTGCATGATTTGGAGATCTGTGTTACATTTACAGGCACCCCTGCAGACATTAGAGACAGCATTACTTTTGTTTCTACATCTTCACCCACTTAAAGGCCTTCAAAGTTTCAGGCTAAAATATATGAACAGGACTATAGTGTTTTCCCAGTCCTGCAGTGATACTTTATCTGGGTGAAAATATTTTTACTTGTTCCTAGGTTTTGTGAGTCTGTTTTTCTCCAGTATTTCTTCCTTATAGTGTTCTCTCATGTCTCACTCTTGAAGAGAAAATATTATTTGTTTCTTATTGTATTGCATACTCCCCCTGAAGGAAAAAAAAAAGAGGTGGGAGGTACAGTAGATTATATTTGTCAGATGAGCCTGAATGGCAGCCTGACCAGAAGATGGTGCTACTATACCACCTAATAATACCTTGCTTCTTATTTCTGTGGAATACACTGTTTGCTAGTGTGGGTACATGGGAGGGGAGGGGTTCTCTGAAGCTACTTGCTCAATACACTCACAAACCAATATTTAGATTATAATAATTGTATTTATTTCCCATGATAGTGCTGCTGTAGTACTGCTGCTCAGTACTCCAAAATATAAAATGTTAACATAAAGATGTATTTAATAGTTTGAAAGGGATAGTTGTATGATGTTGCTGTATTTTATAGGGTGATTAATCAGCATCAGCCAGGTATACTGTGCTTATTTATCTATCCGGCTTATTCTTAAATTGTTTATTCCAGAGGCAGAAAATACAACGTAGCTCTTCAGTCTTGATAGCTTAAATATCTTGAATGATTGGAAAGGTGTAGAAATCCATTGCACTATCTTCTTTTTCAATTTATATCTGGGGCCCCCATTTGGGCCCTGAGCATTCTTCAGCCACAGAGAAAAGAAAAAGGATGGGTCCTCTGAAGACTGGCACTTAGTCATGTGCCAGAAGTGGGATTAGGATACAGTAAGTAGCTAAAGAAGTGGTTGAAGAG